AAAAAGAAGAGGTCCAAGAATAGATCCCTGAGGTACTCCATACGTGAGAGGCGTTGGAGAGGACTTAGCAGATCCAACACGGACATAGAAACGTCTTTCTGTTAAATTAGATCTGAACCTTTTTAAAGCTCTGCCCYGTATTCCAACCCAGTTCTCCAAGTGAAAAAATACAAAATTACAATTATTTATGACTTTAATGTTTAAAAAAGCCCTTGGGTATAACTGAACTTTTCTTTTACCTTAAACAAATACTGATCCTGAACCAGGATCAGGAAAATTCTAGAATGAAAGCAAATATTATCAAAATTCATCAGCAAGGTAACAGTCTAATGTACTTAGTTTATCACTGTACATCCTTTTCTACTAATTCAATATTAGAGATAACACTAACACGCAGGACATGGATATCGTCATAGTCTGTTTTGGTTGGTTTACTTCAATGGTTCTTTGAGTTTAATAAGTTGTATTCACTTTCTAATTCCCTGTGACATTGTCTTCATGTGAGGTTTATTTTCTTATCCACTTGTGCTTCTGTGTTTAGGTTTCTTTGTAACCTTTGTGTTTAAGCCTCCAGTGTTCCATTTCTGCCCTCAGTCAGTGCTCAGYAGATTTCCAGTTCCTCATTGCCACCCTCTCCTTCCAGCAATCATRTTCAGTGATTAGTCTYAGGTGTTGCCCATCTCYACTCTCCCTTTGTACAGTATGTATTTAACCGGTCTCTTGCCACCACATCCTYAGCAGCTCATAGTAGGGTTTCTGTCTTGGTCATATTGCCATATGCCTCCCTGTGTTTTGTGAGTGTTTGCTACACCAGCCTTTGTGCTTTGTTTTTAAATATGGTTTGTTTACCCTTTGAACACTTTGTGTCCACCTGCTCCCGAGTTCATCTCCAATAGACCTTGACAGATGTTTAATATGAAATCATAATGAAAAAATGGCCAGCACTGCAAAAATTTTCCATCTAAAATTAAATTTAAAAACGCTAGATTATAATCTGGATTTTCTCAAAGTAAGTGAAGTTCTCTTAGCCTGGCCCTTACCTTCCCATGCAGTTCCACTCAATTCTAGTTTACCTTCACCGTTCCATCTGGGATTTCTCCCATAGACAAGGATTTCTTCAGGGGAATTTTCATCCGGGCCAATCAGCAAACAGAAGATGGAGTTTTGAACTACGTCGATTTTCTGCTCAGTGTCTGCTAGTTATTTT